GCCTGCAGCACAAGTTCCAATGACCTTCATGGAAATTCTCCATACCTCAGCGAAGGAACTCACTTTTGGGCCAGGAACATTTTGCCAACCTGTTGAAAATTTAGGCAAATCGTAACGCTGAAAAGTCATTGTCAGTAGAGTTTTCTTTGACTATAAGGAGGTTCAGATCTCTGCAGACTCTTTGTTAGGAGCATGCATGGATGTAGCTGACCAGATTATATACATCCCAGTGATACAGCAGAATGGTGCATGCTGCAAGATTGGATAAAGATTAGCATTTTCTGTAACTGTTTCTTCTGAATACTCCATGCCATGTTCTGACTGGACAGTAAGGCTGAGAGCAGGAAGCAATTTGTTCCCTCTTCTGAGGGACATCCATTGCCCTCACTGATATCCAGACAGTGTGGAGCAGAAAAAATCCAGATTCACATATAAAAGGGATAAAAGCTAGATCAGAAAGCTAGGCAGAAAGGAGAGAGTTAATTGAGACATTGATTGTGGAGAGAGTGTGTTTGGAGAAGGAGGAGGAAAGGACTGACGGGTATAGTTATAGGTATATGTATAGGGATTTGCCAGACTACTTGAATAAGACCGTGGAGCTAGAAACTGGGCTGGGACTTAGCCTGTGGAACTTGCCACACGAGAAGGAACAGGGCTAGGAACCATCTGGGGAAACAAAAGTAAGGAGACAAACCTGCGAAAAAAACGTACTGCAAGGGAGATCTGGGAATAACTCAGCCAAGGTGGTTTGGCCAGGGACCTGTGTAAAGGAGATGCAGAGGACTACCAAGTTCTCACATCTGTAGCTGAGATCAAGAGAAGTTGTACTTCATACAGAACTGTCTAAGGTGTTATGCATGCTGGTTCTTAATCGTGTTGATTATTTGCAGTCAAGATAAGCCATTATTTCACAAGAATATTGGCTGCTTTTTACATGCTGCAGCAAAATCCCTCTTGCTAGGTAGGCTTGCTCTTTGTCCTTAGCACAGTTTCATTTCACAGAAGGCTCAGTTTGACCCATAGCAAATGTACAAAATTCTATGGTGTGAGAGGAAGAAAGGTTTAATTGACGTGTGATTACTTCAGCTTTTATTACTTATCATTGGCGAAGTACTTTATGTAGGTCATCCCAAACAAGACTCTGAACGCTTTTTCCTCCTTACATCATCATCTGCTTTGTTTATGCCATACTATAGGCAACAGTTAATTCACTAGCTTTGAAAGTGCTAAATGTTGCAATCCAGATTGCCTACTGGTGGGAACTGGGGCGGCTACACAGGAGGAAATGAAAGTGCTGCAGTTCATAGCCAGATTATAGTTTCATCCTGGGCTGATGTTAGTTTTGATCTCAGTGGCTGAGTTGATTTTGTGCTGTGAATCTTAACTGCATGTGCCTGGGAAAAGGAAAGATGATCTGAAAGTTAAATTTTCGTCTAAGCTGCACCTGTGATGACGGCATGATAGTGAGTGACTTAAGCCTAGTGTCTTCTCACCTCACCTTAAACATTTGATGAGAGAAGCCCACATAAGGGTTTATATCCCCTTCCCCAAGATCTAAATAGCCTCTAGACACAAAACATCGTTTGCTGATTTTTTAAAAAAATACTGTTAATCCCTAAGAAAATACTTCTGATCCTGGATTTTGGATTGATCTCATCTGAGATGAAATCCTGTAGATTTTGGTAGGAAGTAAATTGCTTCTGTGACATTGCAGTTAAAAAGCCAAAGCCAATCACAAATTTGCTTACCTTAGGAACAGCCCCAGGATGGGAGATTTATGAGCAGGCTAACCAGTTTGCTGGTGAAAGGTGTAAGTTGTGTGCCATGTATCATATGGGTCTACCATCTATCACATGAATAGAAAACAGCACCTCATCTCATACAAATGCATTAGGCAGACAAGCAGATCTGGTAAATCATGAGGATTTATGGTAGAGTTGAATACTTTCTGGCCTGCCTGCACCTCTCTGGCCAGCCTAGCTTCGAAGATTACATTTCCTGAGATGAAGTCTGATCACCTGCCACAGCTGGTTGCCTGGGGAAGTAACTTAGCATTTATTTTTTTTTATGTATTTCTCTGTTTTGACATTATGCATATCATGCTGCCATTTTTATTTCTGAATCAAGTAACACCATGATGCTAGTGAAAGCACTTGTTTCCCACTGCAGTATTTCCTCAGAGAACATCTACCACAAGCATTCTGAAAAGAATACATTTTTCAACTGTGAGAGTGTTTCCTAGAGGTGACATCTCCCACATGCTCAGTGGCAAGTAGCCTTGGCACTGAAAATCGTATAGAAATGGTGAATCTTATGCTAAGCTTGCTTATGAGAATACATACTGTCACTCTTTGGGAACTCTTTGCTATATTAAGCATATTGTTTTTAATGGAGGGGTGTATAATGGGATGTTGTCTTTTTATCAGATCCAGCTGATACTAAGGTCCTTACTTTAATGGTGCACTGTGTTTAAGTAAGCATCTGTTTGCATAGATCTGTCAGCATTCCCATTATAAACCCATCTTTTCAAGATGATATAATGTGGGAGCAAGCCTTAAACCAAGCTGTAAGTTCTTTGTCTGTAAGTAATGGATCCACATAATATACACGCAGTAGATAAGACTGTATTGTTGGAGAAATTTTGCATGATCATATAACTGAAAAAATAGTAAGAGGTAACTCAGAAAAAATATTTTAAGGATATATATGTCTGTCTTAGACAATTTCCTATCTTTTGAACGTCATTTCTAACATACTTCATTTTAAATATGTGTGTAAAAAATGCCATGTGGCTATATGCAATATGTATTTATAGGATGTATATGTCTCTTTATAGTAAAGAGAAAGCGGCTTTTATATGTGTATGGGATACTGGGGCATGGGTACCTGAATGTATGTATGAATGAGAGGAACGAAGAAAGTGAGAGAGGGAGATCCTAAACTGCATAAACCTATGCAGCACTCAGCTTTTGGTCCTGATAATTTGTCCACATCACACCATTAGCCTCAGTAAGATGGTTTGTGAGCTTATGGATTTTGCTTGACTAAATGCAGAGTGCATGTCCAGCATTGCTTCCAGTAGCAGAGGAGTTTTCATATGGATAATCACACGCTATTGAATTCCAGTTGTGGTTGCTTCACCATTGCAGGATAGGCCCATCCTTAATACAGACTACTTGCAAATTGGATTTAATTCAAATATTGTTTGAATGTGATTTGGAAACTATAGGCTCAGCTGAAAGATGATTTGTGAAGCAGAATGAATGAAACTCCACAAATACGTTAAAGAACTCCTGATTTCTATTCCACCAAAAGGGATCTGGACTTCAATAGAAGTTTTGCCTGAGTAAAGATTTGTCGAGATTTGGACTCTCGTCTTTCTAAAAACAGTCTCTCTTGAGGGATGTTTTAAGATCTGTGCAGAACAATAGCACAGAAGAATGAGAGCCTGATCCAAAACTCATTGAAATCAAAGGAGTTATTTCCATTATTCAGCAGAAGATTATAGAGTGATGTACAGCAAAATATCAGGAATTATTCTATCAGCCTTCACAGGAAAACATACAACTGTAAGCATTATTGTTAATGGCAACCATTGTGCTTATATGTCCAAGAACAACAGCTTTTCTTCTCAATGCAGTATTAGAACAAGAAATACCTACATTTTCCATCTTTTTTATTGAAGATGGTGAAACTATTACTTTAAATCTTTTTGAACAGGACAAGCAGGACAAAAAGAAGGTATTTTTAGATCTAAATTAATGTCTATAATTTAATAATGTTATATTAAACAGTTCTGAAGTGCACTTTGTTTTTTATCAAAACTTGCAAAATTCCTATAAAATTAGTATATTTCTTATGCATTGATAAATATGCAATCATATTTTTCTTCTAGGCTGAAATAAGAAATACAATATAATAATGGTACCTTTATTAATAGCCTACATTTTAGAGCAATGCAAACAGAACTCTATTTGACGTATTAAGACCATATATAATTTTCTTCCTCATAATATTTTATAGTGCATTTTACAGTAGGCATGACTGATTTTTCCTTTTTACGTGAAAGCATTTTAAATAATCTAGCCAGATGTTTGTCTTTAAAATAATATAGTTCAGAAATGGAGTAGGTCAGCAGCATAGACATTTGGTCAGTTTTTCTCTTCCTTCTTTCTACAGAGCTAAACTTTTTTTCTCTTAAAGCTACATGTCTAAGTGACTCAGGAATGGATTGCTTTGAGATGCCCATTTTGACTTTGAAAGGGCTTTGTTTCCAAGGGAGCCAAAAAAATACCTGTTCTCTGCTATTCTGCCATTTTCTGAATTTCTCAAACTAGGCATCGAGAAGCATAAATCCCATTAAAAGTAAAGGCTTAATTCTGGCACTTCTCCAGTTGAAAGAGTTTGAGTTTTTTTTCAAAAATGAACTGCTGCAGATATAGAAATCTCAAGAGATGGAGTAATGATCAGCTGAAGATGTTACTTTTCCAGCTGTTCATCCCAACTGCTAGCAGCAGTTACTGTTCTCCAACAGAGGCAGCAGATCAGGAATTGCTCAGTCCAGCACGTACAAGCTTAATCTGCTGCTGAGTCCTGTTTACTGGAGCTCTTATGTCTACAAGTAGTTCATAAGACTGCTTCTAGTAAGGAATGACATTATGCATCACATCAGAGCATTAACTTTGAAACTTGGCGATTATTAAACTTGTGATTGTTCACTGGCTAATCTGGGTGTCAAAAGTATGTAATATAGAAAATATAAACAATATATGGACCATAATACAATGATCTGTCTGCCATATCAATTTACTTACGAGTGCTTTCTTCTAATCTCTTGTCCAGTGGCTTGCAGGAGCAAGACTTGGGAAAATGCTGCTGCTCTCTATGTTCCACTTCCACTCCCCATTGCATCATGCTGCACTTTCCCAACCTCTTCATTCTCTCTGATTTGCTAAAATACTTAGAAAGAAATTATCTTTATATCCACTTTTTCCTTACAGCTTCAGAAACAGCTGTCTGAGCTGGATGAGGATGACTTATGCTACGAATTTCGTCGAGAGCGTTTCACTGTCCATCGCACTCATTTGTATTTTCTACATTACGAGTACGAACCTGCTTCAGACAACACTGATGTGACACTGGTGGCTCAACTTTCCATGGACAGGTGGGGAAAACCTCTTATTCATCTGGAAGCATGAGACAATGGATATTTTCTTACAGAGAAACACAACTATGTAGTGCTTTAGGGAGAGAAAAAAAAAATCACTTTCTTAGAAAACTAGATGTCACAGTGTGAGACTTTCCTTGAGTTAGGAGCAGCACACCTAAACACCCCACAAACGTCCGGACTTCAGCTCTGCAGTGCACACGTGAGCGTGGGTAAAGTTCGTGAGAGGCTGAATACTGGAACTGCAGGGGTTGTTACTTGTCAGAATTGTCAGGCATTACTCATTCATGGCGTTGGCAGCAACAGTGAAAAAACACGAGATGTTTGTAATAGACATAGGCAAGCAGCTGGCCAAATTTTTGCCCCAGTATTTTTTCGTTAGGCAGCATTAGTTTTGCTCTCATTGGCATTTTTCTTGCAGAAAATTTCCTATAGTGAGAAAACATTTTAGTTTCAAATTGGGGGTGAAAATAAAAATTTTTTTTTTTAATGTGCTAGTGTGAAATTAAAAGTCTCCTCTTTAGAGGAGTCAATTTTATACAAATGTTGATTTTCAAAATAACATTTCTATTTTAACGCTTTTCAACTTCCTTTTCTGATGCAAAGTGGAATTTAGCTGGTATTTTCCCTTTGGAAAAAAAATCTGTTTTGTGACAAATTCCACCTGCACCCTTCTGATTCTCATCATTACAATTAATTGACATTTTTTGGCTCTGTAAGTGCAGCCTGGACCAGCCAGCTTTGTGAAGTTTTGAATTGTCACTCTCCTTTTTCTACTGCTTCTCAGGTCAAATCTAGTCCAAACTTTGTAGTTAGTGCTATCAGAGCAGATTATACAACAGGTAAGAACCTGAATATTAGCCAGAAGCTGATATTTCATTTAGTGTAGCATGTACAGAATACAACATGACCCATGAGTACCACCACTGCTACAGCAGTAGAAGGTCAGCAGTATTACAAGAGGGTCAGAGGAATTCAGATCAATAAAATATTTTCAGCCTGTTTTAAAAATAAACACAAACAAATGAGAACTGTTCTGTTTTACCAGTGTCTCGGCACTATCCTGCACATTGTCTTATGATTTGCTGTGCACATCAGTGTCTGCTCTATTGATTTTTAGTTGAGGAAACATTTCTTAAGTGTTCACAAACCTTTGAGTAAAAAACTAAAAAATAGATTATGCCAAACCCTGATCGAGTGCCACAGTAAATTAGTAAAGCTTGTGTGTGCACATGGTATGTTTTCCCCCCAGAATTTAATTCAAAAGAATGAGCTGGGGCTCAGTGCTGCTTCACTGGCACTGATGCAAAGTCTGAGCATCTGTTTCCCTTTCTGGATCCTCACTGGGGCACATGTTTTTATTGATAGACAGAACCACACATTTTTATTCAGGAAGAACAGCCCTCCTGATACTGTGCAGGAAAAATCTTCCCTACTTTGTTGGTGTGTTGGTATAAATTATTGATTTGAGTTTGAAATACTTTCTTTCAGCTAAAATCAATAAATAATACCATACCAAAGAAGTGTTTAGCTGCTTTGTTTTCTTCTACATCTTTCAGTTACTGCCTGATTTTTTTTGTAACTTCTGTAAACCACTTCTATTAAACTCCTCCAGCGTAGATGCAGACATATAAGAGTAGTGTCTCAGATGTAAGGTGACATAAACATTCTGCTACACGCTACATTCCCGCATCGTTCTTTCAGATGATCATCTGAGATGAGTAAAGGCAAAAAAATCAACTTCCAGTGTCTCCAATTATAGTCCTTTTGGAGATGAAACTGTCATGACTATCGTCATAGGCTTATGTTTGCCTGTGCTATAGGCTTAGGAATGGAAGAGAGCTGATATTAATGTCTTTAGATAGAAGCTTTGATACATCCATTCAATGGTGTTCGTTATTGGTTAATTGTCACCTTTTATACCGATGTGACAGTACCTTGGTGGACAAGCAATGGGTGCATTGCTGTGTGTTTTGGCTAGGCAGCCTTTTTAAAGAGTAGGGTTCCAAAATTAGAGTGGGAGTTACAAAAATGTGAGATCGGGATGTGGAAAACAAAAGGCATGATTAGCATTACACTGCTTGAAGTCTGGGTGAGAATTAGATGTAAATTGGTTGAATATTCTTAAGAAGAAAAGTGAAAACAAAAAATCTCACAGAACAATTGAATTCTAGCAAAATTCACTTGACAGAAACAGACCGTTAAAAAATTTACCAACTAAATGATGACCTCATTATTACACAGTACAGCAGTACATTTGTTTTCTCTAGAGCCCTTATGAAAATGCATTCCTCAAGACTGCTAACAAAACCAAAATAACTTGTTGTGCTTAGAAGCTCATAGTTCTATATTTTATGGTCAAAGGAGACTATTGTAACAACCTACAGAGAGCAGGATATGGAGCATCACTCCCTGTATCAAACTTGTGGAAGTGGAGCCTGTCAATGAGAGCGATGCAGCAAAATGGAGTATTCTGAAGGGCACTAAACTGTCCAGCTGGAAATTTATACCAGCAAAACCCAATTCCTACTGAACTACCATGGAAAGCTTTGCAGGCATTATAAGGTGTGCTGTTTAAATAAGTTATATATACCATTTGTCCACTGTGTGGAGTCCTTGAAAGGCATTTTTCTGCATTTCTTGCTAAGTGAGTATTCCATTTTTAAAAGGCTGCCCTAAATCTGAGTGCTGATGAACTGGAGACTCCTGATTAATAGGTTTCCACTATGTTGGGGGAAAAAAAAAAGAAGAAAAAGGCATATTTCTCTGTTTATTATTTGTACAATCAAAAGCCTAAAGCCTTCACATACTTTTTAGATCTTTTATTGATTTGTGTTTCTAATTCGACTGTATGTTTCAGCCTGATAATAACCTTTGTTTCAATAACAGATAAAAAGAAAATAATGTAGCAGGTGTAGACTGGTAAAGGTAATATCTCGTATCTAAGAAAAAATTATTATATCATTATGGATGTCATCACAATCATTCAGAAATGCAGGGAAAAGCTATTAATGTTAAATCAGAATATGTGTTTGCTGGTATGAGTATATAATTTCTTTCTGCTGTAAAGCTTAGTGAGATAGGAGAAGGGGGAAGTTGTTTTCTCTGATTATGATGATGCAAAAAAACTTTTCTTGTGTTCTGATAAATATTAATAAGAAAAATCTAGTAATTTGGATTTGGAAGGGAGAGAAGATAATACTGCATAGTCTACTCTTGCTAATTTTTAATAGAATATCTGACTAGGCTGCAGAGGTTTATTTCCTTTTGTATTAACTCAAGAGCCTTTGTAATCACTTCTTGCTGTATTTTTGGGTGGCATATCTTAATCTCTAGGCAGTTCACTAAAAATTGCCCAAAGTGCTTAAATGGTTTGGACCAGGCTGAGTTTGATTTATGTTTGTGTATGAGATAGATCTTCTGTTGTCATTTTCATCAATAGTATTGTAAATGCTTGAAGTTTTAAAAAATAAATATTGATATAGCCAGTTTTAAAAATTATTTAATGAAATTTGAAATACTGCTAAAACATACACAAGTGAGTACTTGAAATTATGGTTTTGTCTGAAATGTTCTTTTGATATTCCACAGCAATGCCACGTCTCTCCCTTCTTCTCTCCTTACTCCCTACGCATAGTAAATCCATTTCTATCGGCGCGTCATCCTTTTGCCCTTTCCCTGACAGTGAGCTTTATTCTAGTCAATGCAAATGTTTGTATAAGCCAGTATTTCCTTGACCTATCACTTTTAAGTGATAAGATCTGACTAACTGCCTTGGAAAAATTTGGGGAAGGTTTTCTTAAACGGGAGGTAAAATGGTCTGTGGGTCTGTGCACTTTTCTCCTCCACAAGTTGAAGAGCACTGTAGTATGTTAGTGTGTGAGGACAGCTTGGCCTGAAGTGTGAATTGAGCACTAAACACCATTTAAATCACGAGACCCCTATCCTGCAAGTAGATCCACATGGACAGATCCCTGCATCTGCTCAAAGCTCCCATCAGATGAAGTCCCGCCATCCACGTGGGGTTTCCTGCAGCATCAGTGCCATAGGCAGAAAGGATGGTGTTGATTTTACCTGGTGGTAGGTATCAGAGTTGTGGATGTGTGTGTCTGAGCTAGAGCTGTCTTGGGCTCCCTTGTATTTAGCAGAGAGAAGTAGGAATATCTAGGGCGCAGTCCATCTGTCCAGAAGCAGACATCAACTCACACGAGATAAGTTGTGCTGTAGAAATACTTATTGCTTTCCACAGCTTATGAAGTGACCTGTCTGTCTCACTTAGAGACAGGTATCTGCATTTGATCAGACGGACCTGGATAAAACGTCCCAGAGAGAGAGGCAGCCTTTTCTTATTCTCACCCTTCCTCTTTCAGGCTCCAGATGCTTGAAGCCATCTGCAAACACTGGGAAGGTCCAATCAGCCTGGCACTTTATCTTTCTGATGCAGAAGCCCAGCAATTTCTGCGCTATGCCCAGGGATCGGAAGTGCTTATGAGCCGCCACAATGTTGGCTACCACATCGTGTACAAGGAGGGCCAGTTCTATCCTGTGAATCTGCTAAGGAATGTGGCCATGAAGCATATCAGCACACCCTACATGTTTCTGTCCGACATTGACTTCTTGCCCATGTATGGACTCTACGAGTACCTCAGGTAAATGGACAGTGGAGGGATTCCCACTGTCGCCCTCGTTTTCAGCCCCTCCACACTCTACCCTTCTCATGTAACCCCAAAACAACAAGGCAGCTTACAGATGTTTGAGTTGTGACAATGCCCAGCAAGGCACAAGAATTTTTAGTGTAGAGGAAGGGGCCATAACCGGGAGTAAAGCAATATGGTTCTGAAAGAAAAAACTCAGGTCTCAATGTCAGCCCTTCAGCCATCAGAATAATTCCCACAGAGCAGCAGAAGAATCAGTTTGAAAATTGAACTGGAGTAAGTATTACTAAATGTATGAGAGTATCCCACATTAGCAGAGATATGAACCGGATGATTTTGCTAAACATCCCTAGTTCTTAATTTCAGTGACAGAAAAACATGCAAAGCATTACCGAACTTGTCCCAGTGTCACGCTCTTAATCCAGTACTGTATCTTGAAAAGAGAATGATAGTTTAACCAGCTCAAAAACACAACTGCGATGCCAGCACGTGTGAAGGCAAAATAATTAGCGTAAGGAAACTGGGAAGAGTAGTCTCAGTGTGTATTGTGTCATAATGAATGTGAGCAGGTTCAGCTGAGCAAACTACAGACCTGTGATCTATTAACTGAGCTGGTTTTTAATAAAGACCTTTTTCCCCTGCAGAGACTGGTCATCTGAGGCCAAAGGATAGAGCAAGGAGGACACCCTGTGGCCAGACAGCAAGATTTCAAGTCCTTACTTAGTCCTGACCAGTTTTGTTTTTCATCTCAGTTCTAATTTCATAAAAGTTGATCAAAGTCTTCCAGCGAGGGTCTGTTCGTAAATGATCCCTTTCAGTCGATAGGCCTAGGGTTTTGGAGTCTAAAGGGGAATATACTTTCTGGTATCGTAAACTTATGGAGGAATTCCTTTATTTCAGGCTTAGCAACTCAGTAAGTGTCTTCTCACTTCTCCCTCAAGTGGAGAATTAATTGCTTTTTTCAATTTCTGCATCCATGTACAGGGCCAAACTCACCGTTCAGAGGGCTGGAGCACTCTCCTGTGAAGAAAGGCCAAGAGAGTTGGAGTTGTTCAGCTTGCAGACAGCAAGATTTCAAGTCCTTACTTAGTCCTGACCAGTTTTGTTTTTCATCTCAGTTCTAATTTCATAAAAGTTGATCAAAGTCTTCCAGCGAGGGTCTGTTCGTAAATGATCCCTTTCAGTCGATAGGCCTAGGGTTTTGGAGTCTAAAGGCCAAGAGAGTTGGAGTTGTTCAGCTTGCATCTTGTTATGGCCTTTCAATACTTAAAGGGAGCTTGTAAGAAAGATGAGGACAAGTTTTTTAGCAAGGCCTGTTGCAAGAGGACAAAGGGTAACAGTTTTAAACTAAAAGAGGGTAGATTTAATCACCGTTCAGAGGGCTGGAGCACTCTCCTGTGAAGAAAGGCCAAGAGAGTTGGAGTTGTTCAGCTTGCATCTTGTTATGGCCTTTCAATACTTAAAGGGAGCTTGTAAGAAAGATGAGGACAAGTTTTTTAGCAAGGCCTGTTGCAAGAGGACAAAGGGTAACAGTTTTAAACTAAAAGAGGGTAGATTTAAACTAGATATAAGGAAGAAACACTGGCACAGGTTGCCCACAGAGGTGGTAGACGCCCTGTCCCTGGAAGCATTCAAGGTCACGGTGGACGTTGGACGGGGCTCTGAGCAACCTGATCTAGTCAAAGATGTCCCAGCTCACTGCAGGGGGTGGGACTAGATGAGCTTTAAACCTGAACTGTTCTGTGATTCTATGTCTTTTAAGGCAGTGGATTTCAATAATATCATTGACGTTTTATCACACTACACCAGCTTGTTTCCTACTTATTTTTAGGGATATTTCTTTTTTGACTTTTGCTATACAGATTCCAAAATAATTCTTTCCCTTGCACACATTAGCTGACTCAAGATACCTGTCGGGACAGATGTTGTTAACTTCTCTGTTCTTTTGTGTTAGTGTTGCATCCTGTTACATTTCTTCGGAGCGATGCTGGACACAGTAAGGATAGCAGCTGTTGACACTGGCATGTAGTACTGAAAAAGCAATTTGTCCCTCCATGCTGCTTCACCGTGCACTGGTGGGAGCCAGCACTGAAAGGAGGAAGACAGAATGATATGTCACAGTATACTTGAGATACTACAACCATAGAAATAATTCTCTTTTGATGATAATGTATTATATAATTAAATGCACAGTAAGGCCACCCATTGGTGCTATTTAAAAAAAACAAAAACCAAAACCCAACAGATTCACTGAAAGCTGTTGTATCCGAGTCCTTGTATTACTCTACCAGCCTTTTGTGAGGTCCATACCACCTTAACTGACTAATTCGCTGTTGCCTGGGAATGTTGAAATAGCTAATCTGCTACTACTAGCTCTTTAAAAAGGGATTGGATTTTGTGTGTGTGTGTGTGTGTGTGGACTAGAAGCTTTTGTTGCTTTTTCAAATAATGATTTTTCTGAGCAAAATAGCAAGGAGGTGCAATGAGATTATTTTAAATATGGATACCCTGTATCTTTCTGCATTGAATGTTACTACCACCTCTGCAAGTAGCTGATTAGTGCTATCTGTCTCAATGGCAGTGATTGTTAGAGACACGTACACACATTTTCATCTTCATTTCCTTAGACAGAACAGCAAACAGAAATAGTGAGGTTGCTTTGTAGAGGATGAGCCTGACAAGTCCCTCTCACTGCGAGTTTACTGATTTACATATATTGTATATTGTGTCTCTACAGACAATATATTTTCAGAAAGAAAGGAATTTTGAAAAACATTTTCAACACATTTTGAAGTTGCTGTATGTAAAAGGTTATAGGCAGTTTTGAAGGAAGAGCTGATGGTTCCCTGTCCCTCTATGTGTCTGTTGCTAGCACTTAGATTTGTGCTAATTGAGCTTTTTCACAGCTGCTAAGTAAAACCATTTCAATGCTTTTAATCTCCCGTAAAGCTCTTTTTTGTCCTACCTTACTCTTCTCTGAGGTGCATAAGGAAAGAAAGATACCATTTAAAGATTTCCTGTTTACGGAACTCAGACACTTTCATGGTCAATGCTGAGTGGAAGTTTTTTGTCACCTTCCCTCAATAGTTACTGAGGTCATCTTGTCATTGCCCCAGAGTTAAAGGCTCTTTCAGGTTCCTTCAGGTAAGGTGTGTGGGTCATCCCAGAATTTCTAACATAAAATAATTAGACAGGGCTGCTTATCTACAGTTGTCATAGCTAGCATTAAAGTTCTTTCCTGACACATTTGTGTAAAATATACCCTTCACTTCCAGTGACACACTTAGCATGGGTTGGGACCTGGCATCCAATCTCTATCTGCAGGCTTTATACCCTTCCCCTGCAGCATGAGTTGTGAAATATTTCTGGTTGTTCTTCAGCATCTCAGCAAGAGACACACTCTGTGCTGTGCCCTTTGTGGTTTTTTTGTGGGATGTCTAGGCTGTGCATTCATTGCTTTTGCAGAGAGAAGGAACATTCTAATGAATTTAACAGTGGACTGACAGCTCTTCATTTCTTACCACAAACTCTGTGACTGCTGTATTCGCTGATCTCGAAGTAACCACTTACTGAGTCCTGATAGTGGAAGCTAATTTGAATTAATGGACTCTGTTTGTTTGTTTGTTTTCTGAATTCACTGCTCTAGGATTAGATTGCTAAACTTTTTGTGACTGAGCTTCTCCAGAAATGGGAATGATATTACTCTCTGCTCCCATGAGGATGAGAATTCTATGTTAATTTTTGGAAAGGACTATGGAAATGAAAAAATTTATATCAATGTGCTGGAGTTCATTTAACATGTGAGGAGACTCTTGTGGTTTAAGATCTGTTTCTTACAAACCTTGCAAAAAAATAAGGTTGATTAGTAGATTTAGAAATTTAACCCAACCTTCACTGTGTCAGAATGACATACATCAGGTCTGAACACAAAGATGCCTGGGAAACGGTTTCCTGGACAACACTAGCAAAGAGAAAGCTATTAACAAAATCATATATCCTTATATTGGGGTTTGGGAAAGAAGGACAGATAAAGGAAGAGGGATACTGAATCGATGTTATTTAATCCCAAAAACCACCACTCATAAGGATAGTGCAGGAATTAAACAGTTTACTCAGTGCTAGTTTGCAGAATAACCAGATATGTTCCCTACATTATATTCCACATATCCTGCAACACCAACGGTGAAAATTTTCCTATTCCAAGTACCACAAAACCAGTCAACCAGCAAATGGCACTTCCACTCAAAATAGGACAAAAAGTCACCCCACGGAAAAGGAAGAAGAGATTTGCTTCCAATAGGAAGAGTTTAGATTTTCAGTTGATTGTCCAAGGACCAGACTGCCAGCCAAGTTAGCAGAAGAAAACGTAAAGTTTTTTTTTCTCTACCAAGTCCTCCCTGCTATTATCACAGTTTATGTGGCCTCTGTTGTGCTTTGGCACTCCGGTTCAACACCTGGATCTCAGCACCGATTCCTTCTTCCCCTTACATTAGTCCTTTGTGTCATCTAGTCCACATCAAAGGCAGGCTGTTCTACTCGCAGGTCAGTGCTGCAGGACCACTTGACTGAGCATATCTCAACTCCCAGCTCAGTTTTGGTGAACCTCTCCATTTTGACTTTTCCAACGTGCACCTCATATTCTCACATATGTCTTGGAAATATTTCTCCACAGATTGTCCCACTATTTTGTTTCACTCTTGAAGTACCTCCACCAGTTTTCTGTGTTTGACTGTATCCACTACAAGCATCTTGTTTTCAGACCTCTGCTTCTCTCCACTTAACTAACTTTTCGTGTTGACCTTTGCCAGTGCAAGTGATTTCAGCCTCTTGTATCATTTTGTTCCCTCTTTTTAGGGAACATTTTCTTCATGAATCTAGTCATCTGTTCTTTCCAACAGTTCTGCCTTTGACACCAATGTTAGATTTACAGATGACATGAGCAGGGAGTGTGCAGAAAAGATTACTGATATCCACATCACTTTTGTGCTTGTGTCCTGTATCTTAAAAAATGAGTCACGTTCCACACTAGTCCACACTGTCGCTGTGTCTGACAGTCTCTGATACTACCTTTGCTTGATACCTGTACCTACTTCAGCTTTGTTCAGCTTCTGACTGTGAACTCTTGGGGGTACGATTGTGTCCTACACTTTGACAGCGCCAGGCACAGCAAAGCCTTGATTTTTACCTGGGACTTTTGAGCTCTCCATCAAAGAAAGAGATAATAACAGTTATAAATGGAAGCTGCTGTTTCCTTGCAGAGCCCAAAGGGTGAGCATCACTGCAGCTGTTACCTGCCTCTTCCTAGAACTGAATCCCCAAAGCTGTACCTCTCAAGGCTGATAGATTGCACAGAGTCCAGGAAGCCTGAGGTGCTGGAAGAAAAAATGTATTAGTGTCCCCTCCTCTCAGAGAAGCTGTGGAGAGGAAGAAACATTAAGAGCGTCATAAAGATTCAATGCTGGCACTGCTCAGTGATTTTGGGAGGTCATTTACATGCAGATATCTTGGCCATTAGTGACGATGTGGGAGAAGATAGTGAAGAAAATACGACAAATGATAATAAGATGCTGTTTGTGAAAAGTTCACTGAAATGTGGCAGAGGTTCTTCAAACAATGCAAATTTTGCAGTAAGGTGCTGATAAGATTTCTTTTTATAGAATAGGCCTATAGCGTAAGTTCTCTAAAATTCAGATTTTATTAAATAGCCTTGTTCTTTTTCTCTGATGGCAATGTAAATGAATTCTGGGTATTCTGGGCCTAGAAAAGTGGTTTGTTTGGTTCTTCTGTTATTATGACAGTGATCCAAATTCCTTCATCTTATAAGGCTGTAGAGAGTTTGCTGCTTGTCAACATTGTCCTTGATTGCTTGTTGCAGTAACATAAAAGTCAGAACAGTGAATCCTGTTAAGGAGAATGGCTTTGACAGGGAGAGAGAGGCATATTTCTCATATGAAGATAATGAAAGGAAACCTGAGACAGAGTTATTTCTAATGACAAGCATAGTAAGACTCAATTTGGGGGTGGAAAATAACTTCTTTTTCTTTTTCTTTGGTTTTTATTTTGTTAGGAAAGAATAGAGCAAATACATCTGGCGAGGAGGGTGTAAGGTTGCTAAGCTGTTCCCCTCCTCCGGCAGTCATCCTAAGGCCTCTGTCTGGAGAAGGGCTTTACAGTGCAAAATGCAATATGTGCACACATGCACACACTCACACACCGAAACTGTCTGCACTGAACAACTTGTAGTGAAAGAAGGGAAAAAGCGAGGTGTCTTGGTGCATCCAGTGAACAGCTCTTCTCTGCACGGGATGGCCTCTTTGTCCTCTGTCCAGAGCCAGTCACACAGGAGCTCTGATATCTGGGCACTACCGTGCATGATTAACAATACTCAAAAAAAAATACTGCTAACGTATAATTTTGCTGATTAGCACCATGCCCTGTTGCAGTAGATATATGCCTTGTCTTGAACAAAGACCAACCATAATGGCAACAGGGTTCTTGAGAGCAAACATCTGGTCCGTAGCAGTGTTAAGGTAACACTCATGTTGCAGGGGCACAGAGCTCTAAAGCAGAGGTAAAAAGCACAGAGAATAGCTGGGCTGAGGTGTAACTAAACTTCCCAGCTCCTCATCTTGTGAAGTCCCACCGAGTCCTGGATAAATCCCATTTTTTTAGAACTGCCGTTGACTGGACAGCTCTTGGCAATAAATGTAGTAACATTCAGCTATGTTTCCCTTAAAGGGGGCGGTCAGTTAGCTGTGCTCAGAGTCCTAGTTCAACTCTTTATGCTTCTGGACATGCAGGGCAGCACTGATCAAACACGCAAGCTCCTTTTGAACTAGAGCAGCAGATCAAAAGTAAAGGAAAATACGAAGCACCCCTGGGAAAAAATATGGGCCATAGTTACACTTACAGTATCAAACTGGAAAGTCCATTCTCTGCACTTTATTTTGAAAAGCCAAGTGACTTGCTCTGTTTAAAATTTTCCTGCTTTTGTTTGTTGTTCCTCTTTGCCAGGAAGTCCGTGATCCAGCTAGACTTGGCTAACACCAAGAAGGCTCTGATTGTACCTGCTTTTGAGACCCTACGCTACCGCCTCTCCTTCCCCAAGTCAAAAGCAGAGCTGCTATCTATGTTGGACATGGGAACCCTCTTCACATTCAGGTAATGGAAAGTACTTTTGTTGAACTGATGGTCATTATCTCTAAAGGTTTTTTTTATGTTCTTGGGAATATTTGATTTTTCTCTCTCTCCGTCAGCTAGCTGGCTCCATTAAGAAAGCTTTTGGATTTTTTTCACTTTTCATAGAGAGGCAATGAGCAGAATCATATGTGGATATATTTCATCTGTAAGCTCAGCATTTTATCTAGTATTATAGTACTCTGCCGGAGGACTTCAGTTGTTAAATTGAATTTGTTTTATTTTTATCATTTTTTATTGCACTACAGAATCAAGCACGACCATTACATTCATGTGCGTGTAATTTGCTTTTTGGATGCCAAGTACTATCTGGATAACTGTGTCCCTCATGTGATCAAAAATAATTTCTCTCTGCTTGTTGGTTTGTTTCCTTACTGACTAACTGGAAAACAAATACAGGCTTGTCATGTGCTCTTTTAAAGTGTGAAACAGCTGCCTAAATAGCTAGAGTTTCTCAATGCAAACGTAAAAGTGTACTCTGGCTAGAAGTTGAGAAGCGAAGAACACTGAATTTGGGAGCTCCTCTCTGAAGCAGACTCCTTTTGTGGCTGTGAACAAGTCACTTCTATTATCTGCCAGACTCTTCAGTTTAAAATGCAGCTACCAGGGGTTAACTGTCTCTTGGGTGTGTGTGGTAAGGTCTGATTAGCAGACATTTGTAAAGCATCGAAGAGATGGGAAGAGTACAATATATGGCTTTATGATGTTGCACAGAGAGGGGGCTTAGGAGACCTGAGTTCTCTTCTCAGCTCCACTACTGCCCTGCTGGGAGGTGGTAGGCGAATCAGTTCGCTTTCTTACATCTCTGTTCTCCAGCTCTGAAATGCAGGTAACAACGTTCACCTCTCCTTTTTACAGTATTTGGAGATCTAGAGATAAAAACTATGAAAGAGGTATTACCCATGGCCAGGGGAGCTCTATATCACCTCTCCCATCCTTCCTTTACTTTAGAGCTTTCCTTATACTTTATCCATTCCCTGTATTACGTACCTCTCTTGCTGCAGTAGCCACCCTGCTCTCATGGCTGCATGCATATGTCATAGCAGACAGCTTGCGTGAGCCTGGAAAGCGTATTTCTGACACTGCCTCTGCCAGCGACTGCCTTGAAATAGAAACTTGAGGCAAGTGAGAAAGACAGGCCTGCTTCTGGAAAATTACTTAAGGAAACTGATAGAGCAAGTGCCTTTCATTCTCCCATCATTTTTTAACAGACATACAAGTTAACAGCACATTTGTTGATAGAAAATAATTGTTTCTTCCCTAGTTGAAAGAAAAAAAGTCCTTCCAGTGGAAAATAACACCCTCAGGTTTTTCAGATGTTACATGCCACCAACAATCAAATTTTCAGCTTGCACAGCGGTGGCCTTCCACTACAGTTTTCATCTTTAAGCTGTACAGCATGTTGGTGTGGTGTGTACACTGCCGGATTTGCAGATCCTTTCTCAAGTCTCACTCGGGCAAAAATGTCTTTAACATCAGTGGGAATTTTGCCAGAGCAGGGTTAAATAAGAATTGAAGGACATGCGGTCTCTAGCTGGTGTACATACTAATGTAGGACACAATTTACAAATGCTTCCCCAATTTGCTGTGGCTCATTTCATTGCCCAAATCTATCAACAGCCACAAAGCAGCTGTGATCTGGGCTGAGAATTTCCACCTCCACCTTCAAGGTGCTTTAATAACGCTGCAATTCGAGGCTGAGCGAGTGGGAGTGAGCAGGGAGGACTGCTGTGACAGTGATTGCTGCGAATGCCTGCAGCATCCCAGCCCCTCACACCACACGGTAGATTACAATCTTTCCCTCGATGAAATTGCTTTTGTCACCTCTTTTCCAAATGGTGACCTTTTCTACCTGCGGGCAGCTAAGAAGTACAAAACAGCTCTCAATTACATCCCCCAGTCACTGGTAGAAGAAAAGGGAAGACGTGAGCATCTGCGCCTGGTGAGATGTGCTGCGGTTTCAACCCTCGGCGGCAGCGGGTTGCTCCGTGCCAGCTTGCTGGCTTTGTTTACAGGTGCTGGCTGTGACCGTGCCTCACGACCTGGGTAAGAGCTGATGAACCACAAATGTACTGCCAACACAGCTTTCAGGCACCAGGAGGATCACAGCTGGTAGAAGATGCATCGAATTGAGAAAACGTGACCAGCAACAACTGGTTAATTAATTGATTGCAAAGTGTTTAAGCATCTGAGAACAGACTGGAAAGGCTTTGCCAGATTATCTTTCTCACTGAAATGGGAAGCTTTGAGGGACAAGGCAGGAAGGAAGAATACTCTGAGAAGAATGGTGATTTCACTTTGCTAATTTCAGCAGAGTTTGCTGTAGTTTTGAAATTTTATTTTAAATGAAAGCAATGAGCAACAGAAGTAAGTTGAAACATTTGATCCAAAGTGAGGGGATAGGGGGATGTTTTCCAGTTGTTTTCCATGAACCGTGGGAAAGAAACTAATCATTGTTTTATGGAGATCAAATGATTTGGTTTGGATTTGTGAAAATTGCCAGCATAGTGAAAACTATGTTATTACAATTTTCACAAAGTTCTCCTGGGAATCAGTGAGATGGAGTGTGGCCTTAAAATTCAATGTGTTTTTAAATCTTGAGTGAGAAGGCCCTGAGCAGGAAAATGAGATTTATTCATTTGTCCTGTGAGATGGAAGACCAATACAGACAGTGAACCACTATTCGTAACTGCATCACTGAGAGTAAAGTCTGTTGGAAATGACTCAGTCTTTTATTCTTCTTCTATATAGACATCCATGTAACAGTGTTTGTGTATGTTACTTAGCAGTACATTTCTCATGGTGATCAGCAATTGGCCAAGACCAGCAGATTATATGTGTGTGTCTATATATGTAGACCCATATATATTGTATGTAAAGATATGTGTATAATCCTGAACTCTCAAAATTCTTGTTTCCAGTCTAATTATTTCATCTTATTTGAGCATCCTGTACTCATTTTCCACTTTGACATGACCTTAGCCACTCTTTTGTCTTCCTCTTTACTTCCACTCATATCAGCCACTCTGAAGAGTCAAGCAGATCGTCTGATACTATTTTGTTTAGTACAATCAGCTTTGTTTTGTCTCTCCAAGTTCACTTCTGTATTTTTCCTTCATTGTCCCTTCCCAATTATTTTCTTACTCTGCAGGTCAGCTCTCTTGACTCACTGAAGTCATACTTGAGCTGCTTACACTGTTATCCCCAAAAAGGGTGGAAAGAAATGGATAGGTTTTGTGGTTAGTGTCCTGTTCCTCCCATTTAAGTCAGTGGGAGAGTGTCACTAGGACAACAGCAGCATTTTACTGCTTTTCTGCAGGAGCCTCTCAATTAACCAAAGTTTATGTGAAGCTTTGAAGATACAAATCACTTCCTAAGTGTTTAGTAGTCATTATTATTATTATCATAATCAATTTCAAAATGCCGGAGGTAGGATTTTAAAAGATAGAACATCCTCTGCAATCCCATATCATTTTAAATCCCACATCATGATTGTATTTTCCAGCCTAGATATCTCTCTATTAGGTTAGCCACTCATTTCCAAAAGAGACCAAGAAAAAGGATAGGCTTTTTGGAAATGATTCCAAAGGGCGTTAAGTATCGTAAGCATCTTTGTGAATCAGGCACTGGTTTCTAATAATCTCTAGAGATTTAATTCACTGACAGTTTTATTAACACAGAAGGGCTTTGTTTTTTCAGGTCCCCGAGCCAGAAAGTGATGCAACCTGTCTACAGTTTAGAAATACAGCCTTCAAAGGATGACGCGTTACTTGGGACCCTAGTGCTATCCTAATAATTCTGTCCTCCTGCACTGCCTCTGAATCAGGAGAGTCAGCAAAGCTGAATACCTCTCTTTTGGGGGCCGGTTAGCTCAGTGATTTGAGCGCAGTGCTGACAACAAAGATCCACACCGAGGTCGCGAGTTCGATTCCTGCTCGGTCCACATGTGTTGCCTGGTCTAGTTGAGAGGTGGCGTCCCTGCCAAAAACAAGCAGGTTGGACTAGATGATCCCTAAGGTCCCTTCCAGCCTAGGCCATTCTGTGATTCTATGATTCTTTTTCATGTTACAAGCCTTACAAATATACAGTCTGGGTGAAAACTCCTAGGTTGTGATTTTATGTCGCTGGTTTTAGCAATGGCTTGTAGTGTTACAAGAATTTCGGGGGCTGAAACATTACCCCAGGCCCTAATTCTGCAAATATGTAATGCTTCACTTTTAGCATGAGTCGTCTCTGTGAATTCAATGTACCTTGCATTACAGACTGGCAGGATGTTTGTTTTGCCCCTTCTGTTACACATTTCAGAGTATTGTAGTACAGATGGCTTGCTATGCCTTCATTTCATTATTTAATCTATGAGTCTGCAGAAAGAGCCTGTCTCATTGATTTTTGGAAAAGTGTAAGAACAGTAAGTGGGCAAGAGAGTCATTGACCCTGGCACTAACAGGGTGGATTGAAGCTGTGCTTGGAAGAGACCTGCTGTGACCCAAACAAGATTAACAAAGTATAAAAAGATCTTTTTCTGTAAATCAAATTAATTACCTTACTGAGGATCACATGGGTGTTCCCCACAATGCAGAAAGTACAGCAGAAAGCCTTTATGTAATACTTTGCTTATTAATTTAATTATGCACCTTGGCTCCTGCCATAGTAATAACAGTAATTAATAAAATGGAACATCTATCCAGAGCTGCAGGTATCTCTCATACAAATTATAAAATTGCATATAAAGAGATCATGAATGTCATTGTGGTGTAGAAATAGCTAATTTTAGGGACCTTATCTGAGCTACGGAATTTCACACTGATTTTAGAGCACTGACAGAGCCTCTTGGTTGCAAGGAATGAGACACAGCACTTTGTAGTGCAGATGAACTGTCTGTGTACCTTGTAATTGTTTCTCATATTAGCATTAGGTAGTGTTTCCACACTATTCTTCACCAGCTAGATATGTTTTAGCATTGAGCACATCGAGGCTCTGGCAACTGTGCTGGAAATAGTCCTAGAAATCGCCTCCCATTTATCCTGAAAATGATAATGTGAACTGTAAGCTAATGACCTTATTTTTGAGCATTTCATCTAACAAGAAGCGTTTTGTTGCCTCGCCAAGATGCATTCTGTCTAATTGCCTCCCCGTGTCTGTGCCTTTTCTGTCTGTTTAAGGTATCACGTCTGGACGAAAGGGCACGCGCCAACGAACTTCGCCAAGTGGCGAACAGCCACCACCCCTTACCGCGTCGAGTGGGAAGCTGACTTTGAGCCATACGTTGTTGTGAGGAAGGACTGCCCGGAGTATGACAGGCGGTTTGTTGGATTTGGCTGGAACAAAGTAGCTCACATCATGGAACTGGATGCACAGGTGAGGAGACAACACCTGCATTTCACACCCAGGGCTGGGCAGCAGGGCTTCTTAAATTGAAATCTGTGTTCTGTAGAAAGGCTTAAGGCTTTGCGTCACCAAAGTGCTCGCCTGGACTTACTGAGCTGCTGTTTGAGATGAGTGCTTCTTGAGATGGAAAGACTCAGTTTAGTCCTTGTCAGGAGAACTGACTCTGAGTTTATTTGTCAGTCCTTAGAAAGTTGTTTCATGGTGGCACAACAATCCCCTCAGTGCCTGTCTCCTGCCCAACAGTGTGCCCGAGCATTGTGGAATTTGTGCCATCTCATCACGAACTAGGGGATCTATAGATGTAGCTGAAAGTTTTACAGTTAAGCAGAGGTTGGTGAGTCCCAAATGCAAATGTAGAATTCAAAGAGCAATCTTACATAGAATCCAAGGCAAGCATCATCAATTTCTGGCCTGGATTTACAGGACATCTTTGCAAAGCCAAGGACTTTACATATCCAAAGTCTCTGGCTGTGGAGCAGACTCCAGAGGATTCAGGTACTTGATCCTTGGGGTACCTCCCTCTTGGATCTGTGATTTGCTGTGGAGCTGCTGGGCAGAATATGTAGGAGTAAGGATGCAGAGAAAGCTCAACAGTCCTGGACTGGCACTAGAGCTCTCAGAGCAGCCAAGGTCCCTGCCACCGACCTAGATCTTAGAGGCTGGCAGTGACCGTGGCTCCACGGGTGCTCAGTGCTGCTGCTCACTGAAATGGCAGGGTTTGCATCTCCCTGCTGTTCTTGGATGTGAAGCTAACTACTGTGCTAATCAGCAGGGTCTGGGTCATGGCATTTCTTTTTAGTTTGGGTTTGTTTTCTCCTTTTTCAGTTTGGTTTCAGTCCCAGTTTTTGAACTAGTATCATTTCATGCTTACCAAAAAATACGCTTTTCTGCCATCTGTATCCTCCCGTGGATCTGGAATATAGCTGACCGTTCTCTGCTAAATCTTACCAGCTTATGTGAAGCAGAGCAGCACAGGGCATGCAGCAAGTTACTGGGAGATTGTGTCTCTGAGGTGTAGGGTACAGTGTTATTTGCGCATAGGCATGTATGTGGAAGGGCCGTTCTCTACTTCTGCTTGCAAAATAACATGGTCACCTTGGGCTGGGAGACAGTTGCCCTCTGTTTACAGAAGGGCATTTCCAACAAATTTTTAAGTTCTTATGTTGAGAAAAAAATTATTACAGACTAGAAAAGATCTTGTCACTTATCGCTAATAATAATACTTCGCTCTGCTATAGCACTTAAATTTTCCACTGCACTTTCCAAACACTAATCAATTAGCCATCAGTTGTGGAGAGTGCTGGGGTAATGATTTATTATTTGTTAATCGCGGTAACATGGCTTATGTTCTTACTGACAGCTCTTATCTAGCACTCACAATTTAACTCTTCTGTTCAGAGACATTTGCCCAGCATACAGATTCAGACATGGGAAATGGGAACATTTTTCAAAGTTCAAAAGAGTGCAGATATTTTAAATAGCCAATGAGTTGGAACTAGCTCTGGGGGATTGTTTTTCTCACTCTTCCAGCCTTAAAAACATTCTCACATTGAAAAGAAGTTTTATTTTCATCTGTAGAAACATGGGTATTGGCATGTTCTCTGAGAAAATCAGCCTGGAGGGGACGTGGGATCACACAGCCACCTGCCCCTATGGCATTCCTCTGCTTCAGGATGTCCATGGATCGGGTTGCTGCCAGCTGCTTGGCTGGCTTCATTATCAGCAGGCAAAGCAGCTTCTCAGTTGGATTATTTCACTGCTCCTCACAACTGCAATATCTGTCAAGAGAACAGGTTCAGAGTCCTTACCAAGGGCCTGTGCCACTACTGTCCTTCAGAGCAGCCCACAGCGTGGAGATGATCACCAGTATTATTCTGGGGGGATGCAAATGTCCACTGGGCTGTGATGTTGCACAAATACATCATAATGACAGTCTCCGTCTAAAGAATTTATAATGTGTGATGTAGAGACAGAGGTTCCTGCAAGTGCATTGCTTTCTCAACAGACTTTCCTTTATAGCAGAGATGGGCTGTTAGGAAACCTTTCCCTGCTCTTCCAGTGACTGTGGAACTAGACTGTGAGCAATCCTTCTTCCAGGACCCCAGCCTAGCATCTTTCAAAGGGGCTTATTAGCAGCAGACCAGTAAGATTTTGGAAGGCTTTATGTGCTGAAGGCATTTTGGAAGGATGGAAGCACTGCCGTGATGAACAGTTTGTGCTGCTGTGATGAACGGTTTACACTGGAGAGCATAGGTAGTCCCTGATCTGCAGGATCACAGACTTGAGATGCAAACAGAGAGCAAAGAAAAGATCGTATGAGGGGGATGTATCTTCCTGTGCAGCTTCAGCCTTTATTTTTAAGGTCCCGTAGAGACATTGTAGTTTATCAGCTCTCTTCACTCCATCAGGCCAGCCTTTGTTTTTGCATTTGGTTCCCCGTTAGTTCTTCCAGCTAAATGAGTTCTGCCTGTGAGCATCAGGTTATTTTGCTCTTGCTGTACATTTGTCACCCCAAAGAGAAGCTCAGAGGGCCCCATCCTTCATTCCCATATGACAGCATTGTAATTTGGCACAAAGATTTACCACTTCAGCACTGTCTGGCAGGGAACAGGCATTCCCATAATAAGAAAGAAGCAGCCATGCAGCAGCATCTGCGCTTGGCTGTCCAGCACGTGCTACTATTTTGCAGGTGTCACTGGGACAGCGCTGCAGCCTTAGCTACACTTTGGGTGGACCAGTGCCACTGCCTGCATTGGGAAATGGATCCACTTTGCGTTCTGCCCATTTCTTTCCATTTTGTTTGGTCTTCACTTTGGGCTGTGTTACTCCAACAGTTGGTTTCTGGTGGCATCATAACGCAGCAGTTTTCAGTCTTTTCCAGGCTGATCGTATTTTTTAGGTGAGGAAAGATATATGGGTGAAACACTCATGTTTATGTGCACAAGGGTGTTCTCTCCCATAGCTCTTCCTCCCTAACAAAATGTTTTCAGAATACTCTGCCTCTGTCCTGGAGATGTTCTGTGTCACTGCACAGACTTCTAAATCTGCAAGTGACTGGACTTTGCAGACCAGAGGAGGTTGTGCATCATTTCTTTTAAAGGCAGCCTGCTGTGTGGCTACTCCTTCCCTGCTCACTGTCTTCTGCAGAGATGGTTCATGAGTGAATACAGCAATGGTTGAAAATAGAAACTGTGTGAAGGCAGCAGAAAATTTCCCTATATAGTCTTCAAAGTTTCTTTGACATTTGCACCCCATGCAAGTTATATATTTTTAAATTTTATGTGAAAAAAGAGGTAGTGTCCTAGTAGCTTGAGTACTTGCTTGTCTACAGAATACTGAAGTCCACATCCCTTTTCTGCCTAGTTCCCTGCAGGAGCAAATGTCTAATCCTACAAATCCTACTCTAGTGACCTTCCAGCTTGTCTAAGAATCAGTCATCTAGCTTTGCTCTAATGATCATACATTTAATTGTAAAAATTGAACAAATCTAACAAGAATAATTGAGACTTAAATAAACCGTAATTTTTTAACAAAAAAAAATTGTCAAAGAGCTTGGTCGGATATAAATAAAGATAATTAGTGAAGTAGTTTTAGAGGAGAGGGGGAGTTAGCACAATATCTCATACTTTGTGAAGGATAACGATTTGTATAAAACCTTCTCAAAGCATATAGAATTTCCGGGTCCATTTTCACATGTCGCCTATAAAAGATACCATATTCTCCTGTAATTTCAGGTTTATAAATAGTTTTGGAGAGTTTGGTCACTGTAAGTATCTTAGTATATAGGCAAAGCAACATATGTAGTGCAATGTGTGCCTTTGTAAATATAGCTTATTCCAGCATCCCAAGCAAGATAAATTGTAGGGGCAAAAGCATGCTTTTGCAGGGACACTTGAGACTCCCTCTGTGTGCAGTCACAGCTGTGTTGCTTGCAAGCACACTGCTGCAAAGTGTGTACCACAGACATGGCTTCAGGCATGCCTCTTGTACTGTTGCCCCATCACTTGACTTAATGCAGAGTAAAACATTTTAAAAGGGAAAGTCAGTCTTCCACAAAACGAAGAAAAAACCATTTTTTTCTTAAAAAAGGCTTATTTGGCATATCTGTGTGAGTTTGTTGTTTCCGACACCCCCGCTATGCTGTTACGTGATGGAGCATGTGTGACCGTGGAAGTACGGGAACGATGCTTTGCATTGAGGGCTCGGGAACACCCTCACAGCCGGTGTCTTTCTCCTCCAGGAGTACGAGTTCACGGTGCTGCCCAACGCCTACATGATCCACATGCCGCACGCCCCCAGCTTCGACATCACCAAGTTTCGCTCCAACAAGCAATACCGCATCTGTCTCAAGACCCTGAAGGAGGAGTTCCAGCAGGACATGTCGCGACACTACGGTTTCGCAGCCCTCAAATATCTCACGGCAGAGAACAACAGCTAGCACGAGGAAGCCCGTGTGTGGGAAACGGGGAGGAGAAGCCGCTCAGCGTTTGAGGCCCGGCCTTCGAACTGAGAAATACTTTCTGTTTTTATATCGTACTCGGCAGTTCTAACAATAGAAATTTGAAGTGACGTGTCTTCGGACTATGCTCATTGGTCCCTTCCCCAGCTACCCCTAAAGCCTTTCAGCTTTAGCATTCGTGAGGTGTCAGCAAGAGGGGCCGGCCGCACGCCCGCCATGCCGCCGGAGGTGGGGACTGGGCAGGGGCTGGGAATGCACTCCGCTCTCTTTAACTGCAGAGCAAAGACAGACCTTCAGAATATAGGATTTCATGTTGCTATTTAATAATTTGACATGCTTTTTATCTGTAAAGGAAGATCTTCGGGTCGCTGTCCTGTGAATTTTAAATCTGCACTACTCTTAAAAGGGAACTTTCGCCTGTGAACTCTCACAGGCACCCTGTTAACATGGACCTTGTTAATGCAGGATGAGCCAAAGGTCTGAATTAGCCTTGAAAACGAAGGGGACACTTATACAATACTGCACTTCCAGAGAAGGTGTGTTACTGGTTTAGGTGTACACATGATGTTGGTTGGTCTTTTATTCTCAAATTAGTTGTTTTATCAGGAAAATCCCCTTTACCCTACCCTGTTTTCCACACTCCTAAAAGCCGCTTCTTTCCTTGCCAAGGAAATGTCTCGGTTGTGTTTCTTTCCCATCTTCAGTTCTGGTGGCCCAGTAAAGAAGATCAGTAGCTCTGCCAGAAAGTGAACGAAACTTGTCAGTGTAAGGTCTGTTTTCACCAGAGCAACTTGTTTGTGTGTGTCTCATAAAATAAAGGGCCTGGCTGTAACTTTATCTTTTCTAGGCAAGAATTGGATTTTGCCTATAAGGCACATTGTGCGGGGGGATATTGATTTGTAGGCTCATTTCAGTGCACGCCCGTCCATGAAGGCACTGCGCCTTGGGCTTTAAGTGGACTTCTTCCCTCAATAGGGAATCTAAACATGCTCTCCTGCTGCCTGCTGCAAGGTCTCAGAACTACTTCGTTAAAGGAGTTTATAATTAAAAGGAGCAGAACTGTTAGGAATAATCTCCCCATTCGAGGGGGAGAAAAGAATGTGTTGGGAATCCGAGTGTGAGTGTTTGCTTGAACGTGGGCTGGTCACGTTCACGACTTCGGTACACACAGGAGTTTGCTGGAGGGTGGACAGGAAACCTAACAAGCAAAATGCAGAAAACAAGACACTGGACTTTTTGCCATTTTCTTTATTCTTCAGTATTAATGTTGTGTTTACATGGGATGAAGAGATGAGGCTTAATGCACTACCCCTTGCAGGGCTATTTGTAATTTTTGTTGCAATGTTAATAGAGGAAGCAGAAACAACTCAGTGAGAAATGCATCTGTCTCCCTGCCCCAGATTCCAGTACAACCACACCTACCAATACCACTGCCTGAGTTGGGAAATGGAGCCACATTGCTTCCTACTCATTTTTTTTCCATTTTGTTTTTCAGCCACTGGACCTTCTGCTTTCCTTCCCACCTCATTCCTCTAGAGCTTGGTTTTATTTCTAAGCTGACATTTTGTGAGAGCTTTCTGTTTCGGTGGAAACCATGTGGTTTAACCAGACATTTAAACTACAAATATCAGTTCATCATGCTGTGTATATATAAGAAAAGCCAAAAAAGGTGACATCTTTGACAAGAAATAAAAAAGGGCAGGAGGCTATGTGTGATTTTCACTTTTTCCTCTGGGAGTGTTGGCTGCATAAGAATGCTTCAGTGCGTAATTTTTCAAAGAGCTTTTCTTTTGTTCTTAATGGCTTTATGTAAAGATTTACGTAAAGAACTGGGAAGAAGTGAAATGAGTGTTCAGTCCTGGCTAAGATAAATTATTTTTAAAACCCCAAAATCTTAACTCCCCAGGTCCCATATTACTCCCCATTAAGGGCCAGGTCACTGTGCATATTGAGAAGAACCCTGCAGCACAGAGTGCTGTTCATCAGCTAACGTGCAGAAAGAGATCAAAAGCTGATCCTAAGAGAGGCTAATACTGTTTGTACCTACGTAAAATCGCCAGTCAGAGCTTCAGGGTGGCCACCGTTGTGATTCATATATATTAAAAACTTTGGTTTCCAGATGTGCATTTCTCCTTGGCTTAGCAGTGTTGCCCAAGGTTGGACTGGATTGCCCTGCAGCAGCATAACCTGTAGCACTGACCTCTGCATTGTCTGGATGTGCCATTATCAACATGAACGTTATTCTCTCCTCGGTGGTCATGAGATGCAGATGGGGGAGCAGGGTATTAATCATTTGCTACTTGTATGCCTGTACAGAGACTCATGGCACCTCCTGGGTAGGCTTGGGTGTGCTGGCTGGTGTAACCAGCTCAAAGATTGGTTGTACGTTCAAAGAGCCCTCCCTCTTTTTTTTTTTCCCCCCTTATAAACACTGTATTGACCTGTATATGCCATGTCATGTTTGTCCATGTTCTTCATAATTTGGGAGGTGTGAGGCTTGTTTTTTTTTAATGCATTTCATCCAATTTACATGATAGCAAATTAGGATTACATATCTGTCTCTAACTGCCAGGGCTCCTCCAACACTGTGAAAAAACTACCACCGACAACAACAAAAATCCCCAACTCAGTTAAAACACTGATTGTCTTCCAGTCCTCTGCTGTAGTAGGTATTTGCTGGCAACTTTGTTACTTAATTCTCAGTTTTCTCCTGAAATCTTCGAGAAATACCAGATAAACCTGGGGACTTAATGCCTTTGATTTATTGATTTGTTCCACCAACTTCTCTCTTGAGTCTTCAGTCTATGACCTCTCCTTATCTTTGATATTTGGAAAGTGTGAGTCTCTCATTTAGATATCACTCCAGCACCCTCTCTGGTGAAGACTGATGCAAATAAATCATTTAGATTCTTGGCAATGTCCTGATTGTCTTTAATTGTTTCTTCTGCCTGTTGTTTGGGGTGGCCTGCGGATTATCTCTGGTTTTCTGCTTTTGGTGTGCTGAGCAAATGGGTATTTTCAGTTTTAACTTTCTACTTTTTGCTCTTCCCTTTTAGCTTGCTCAAACTCCATCTTAGCTGTTACATACTTTCCTTTCAGCTTTACAAAGTTTTTGATTTCTGTTATCTGAAGGTTTCCTATTTGGCCCGAGTAACTTCTACAATTTCAAATTTAGTCATATGAGCATTTCCTTGTCCTTGACTTCTGTTTATCTAATGGGATATCATACTCCATAGCTATAAGCCCTTTCTATTTTTAATTTGAGGATTTCAGGTTTTCTTTTCTTTTTATTTAGGGCCACTGCTTCTTTCTTTAAAAGGAAAAAAAGTCGTTTCATTTTTAACTTTTTGTATCAAGTATCACCCTACTAGCTTTTGAGGGTTTGTATTTTCCTTTTTAACCTTCCTAAATGCCAACTTTTTCCTTTTCAAGGGATCAAAAATAAAATCTTAGAAAATTGTTTTGTTCTTCTAATTTGGGCTCTTATCTTGATGCATTTTGTTCTGTGTCTCCGTTTTCCCCCCCTGCTCCAAAACATTGACACATATGAGTCACTGCAAACTTTCAGTCCCAGAGCCTGAGCTGTATATTTCCCAGTACCTTCTGATATTCCACCACATTTGAGACAGAATTATTATTCCAAATAACAATTTGCTGCCTGCCCCTTAATCCTCTTAATTTCTTTTTTCATGCTTCTCCTTTTGACACAAGAGGCTTTGCAAGTTTAAGTTTTGGGCAAAGCACTTGACCTTATTCAGTGCCCTATTGTAACATTCTATTTCTATGACTTCTTTCTGTTGTCACAGTATATACCTTCAAATGTGTGGCTGTAGTTTTCATCCTGTCATTTTCTGGCTACAAGTCATCTACCATTTGCTGGCCTGGCAGACCTAGAAAATGTCTTTATTTATCTCAAACAGTCCTTAGTATCTACCAGATTTTTTTCCAAAGTCCTACTTTTATTAATTCCTTCCAGCCTTGCTAGTTTCCTATGTGAACAGGCTGGTTCCACTTCGTAATTTGTGGGGTTTTTCCATTTGTAATCATCTTGGACTCCATAAGATAAAGGAATTAGCAGCTCTACCTGCAATTCCATCGCTTTTGTTAGACAGAATATCACATATGCTCAGATTATTCCTAAAGTACTGATTTTTTACTTCATAGGCTTCATGTGGTTTGTATGGAAATCACAAAGTACATTTTCCTGCAACAAGCAGAGGCACTTCGTAGTGCTATTTGCAGTAGTTGATGCAGCAAAGTAAGCCCCGACTTAGAAGGAAAAGCACAAAAACGTTGTCAGAATTGTAGCTACTGTTTCTCTCTGTGGAGGAAAATTAGGCCTTAGCACAGCTGAATAGTTTTACAAATGCCCTGCACAAAACACATTGCACGTTATTTTCTGGTAGATATAATCATACATTGTCCACTTAAATATGAAAAATACATTTTTTAATGTTCTCTTTTTTACATGCAATCCTGTCCAGAAGATAATATACTTCCTTCTGTATCTTGCCAATTTCCCCCATTACTCCAGCCTGCCTAATAGCCCCATCTGGTTTTGGCTGAGGAAGATTAATGACCAGCGACACTGGGAGTCCTGACAAATCAGCAGAGATGTTACTCCTGGGCATTGCACAGGACATTCCTTCCTACTCTGCCATATACTTTATGGGTGTTCCTTAGGTTTCAGGGCAGCAACGGGAGAGCACAGCAAGCTCAGCTAGTGGGGTGAGCATCACTATTTATGAATTTCAACAATAACATGATGTGGTGGGAGTGCTAAAAAAAGAATGTTATCATTGTTAGCTCAAAAAATATTTCAGTGTTTGGAAAAGGCAGCCGCTGAGTTTCTGCAGCTCGTTAAGTGAGACTAGAAAGAATAAGTCACTAGTAGACAATGACAGCCAATAACCTAGTATTTCCACTGCAGTACTGAAAATTCAGAAGCACTGGTGGCTAAATGAAGTCATATTTATGGTAATAATTCATAATGTGAATTGGGGATTATTTGAAGACTGTTGCTTTGGTTCCCAATATAAAATCAAGGTTGGAGAAACTTCTGGCTGTGCCAGCAAATTATGGCTCAGGAAATGCTTACAAATCTGGGTTTAGAAATACCTGGGTTTTATAGGAATTTGTTCTGATCAGTGGTTATACATTCCCAAAACAAGATTCAAAGTCCTTCAGAATTTTGAAAGGAGATACATTATGTGTCAGTTGGCTGGAACATTTTCCTCTTGGCTACTTGGGATTTATTTGCTCTGCGGAGCAGAATTGTTACGATCAGTTGAAAAAGTAATCTGAGAATTAGAAAGCCAGGCAAATATTTACTTGTGCGAATGTATTTGTCCAGA